CTTCCAGCTGAGAGTCCGCGCTCGACGACTGATCGTCCAAGTGAAGTTCGGGATCTGAGCTTGGTGGCGGCTGAGGAACCACCTCGTGCTCGGTGGGCTCTGTCGGCGACTCTGCGCCCAGCGATGATGAATCTACCACCGTGGTCGAGTAGAACTCTGTCCGTGGCGGCCCGGGCCACGAGGAATCCGAGTCTCTTGGCGGCGGGCCGGGTGCGTGGCCTGAGGTCGATGCACCGTCATCATCAATGTCATGGCCCTGGCCGAGCCTTTTCGGTGACGGTGGGCTCGGCCGATCCTCCGCCTTACTCCAAAGGTCCCAGTCGAAGTCGTCGTCGTTCGGAGGGTTTTCTGGCGGCCTTGAGACGAACTTGAAGGTCGGGTTCGGTTGCGGCATATGCGCCGCCGTCACGGTCATTTGATTCATGTATTTGGGCTTGGTCCAATCATGGCTCCAACCATAATCTTGATACCCTGTGGCGAACGTCGGCATGTGCATCGAGTCGTAGGGGTGGAAGCTTCTATACGACGCCGGCGCGTCGTCCGACACGTCCATCATCTTCTTGAGGAAACCAAAACAATTCCCTCGGGTTCGCAGACCTTGCGACGAGCTCGACGGAGAGCAGGATGGATCCATCGACGGATCCGGATTGGTTGTTGAAGATGCTAGGTTCGGCGTTGGCGGCACATCGTTCGTCGACCCATGGTCGGGCGGCTCGGGCCCCGACGGCGCTGAGCTCGATGACGAATGTGTGCCCGACGAGTCAATCGATTTTCCCGACGTCTTGAAGTACTCCTCCCCCAGCTTCTCTAAATCTTCGTCTAACCGCTTCCCCAATATAGTAGTCAGGTCTTTGGGTATGTGCACCGCATCGACATGTGCTTGATGTTTCTCTTGCACTAATACAGGAGCCGCGAGAGCGAAGTCGATGATGGAAAGGACGAGAAGTATTCCAGTGACTATGTCGTACCGGCGCATGTTTGCTTGGTGTGTTACGCAGATTAGGCGATGTTGGCAATGTTGCTGGTTGGGTAGTCAATGTAGGTGTTCAGTATGCTCAGTCGTCAAAACGAACAGTGTAGTCGCAAAGTCCAGAATCAAAAAAAAAAAACTGGGCTAATAAAATTGGAGAATATAATGAATTAGTGAATTATTAACAAATGTGAAGGGAGCACGCACTATCCAGTACCCAGTGGAGTTAAGGTGAGCAGGGAGCTGGAGATGACATCAAGAGTTGACATGATTTTATATTCGCTTTCACCAAGGCCAGAAACACGGGATCAACATGTCAGATCATTTCAGATAAAGTATCTCATCTGAGAAACGAAATGCTTGCGAACAGGTTGTCAACTGTGTTGACGATAGCTGTTGGCGGACAGGCCGGGCTTTGCCGCTTCGGGCGGTTGCCGGACCTGTTTACCTCTTTGCACAGGACATGCATAAGCCTGATCTCTCTCGCGACCCTTTGGCAACTCGGAGCCTGGTGGTGAGCCTCGGGCTCAGATGCCCCATATTTCGTTTGGGATGGGTAGTCTACAGTAATAATCGAGGCACTTCATAACTGCTACTAACTTAAGCTCAGGTTTCACTGGCGCTTCAAGTGGCTTGGGTTTCTGACATCCTCAGCTGCCCTGAAGCCCACAAAACCGAAACCGTACAATTTGGGCTCGAGCTTTGAGCCAATGAGCCGGGCCTTGCACATCTCTAATCATGAGTGTATGATGTGGAAGTAGGGCCCTAGGCCCTGAACCGCTCTTCTCCGGTTTGACGACGGGCGTCGTCACTGCGCTGTCTGTGGCTTAGAACAGATTACTGGTTTCATTTTACACAGGATCCCTCTTCTTCTTACGTGACTGTCATCCCTCCCTATGTTACCAAAAATCCCCTTCGTTTTGTACTTCGAGGCGTTTACCTAGTGACCTACCAGATATTGCTATCGGATTTATACTATTGGTACGGTGACACGCCCTCTTCACAGTGAAACTGATGAATCATAGTTAAAAAGACAAGCGTGATTTCTTATCTCTTGCTGGCCAAGCTTGTTACTCACTCTTGAATTCTCGCTACAGCAGATGCACGCCTCAACCAAATGGTTGGCCGGGTGCTTAAGATATATCGCTGTTTCCAGCCTTGGTCCTCATACTCAAACTTGTCTATCTAGCCCCCGTACCTGTGTTACACAATACGAATATCGTAAGCACCGTTTAGAATGCCATGAGATGCTGACTGAGAATGCACAAAAAGAGGGCGCCAGCGAGGATAACACGGACAGCGGTCCAGTGGCGTCGAGCTGCAAAAAGAGAGCGAGATCGAGCGCAGAGCAATAAAAGAAGAAAAAAGGCGTACTGATATTTGACACGATGCACTCCTCGACTAGGAGAGAAACCCTAAATACAAGTGGAGGTGCTACCATACTCCGAATTATTGTAAGGAGGCAGCGAAGGTGTCGGAGATGTGCGAATGGGCGCGTCGAAGCTACGCCAGTTATGCAGGAAACCTAGAAATTATAAAGAAAATTTGTTAGTCACTTACCTGAGAAAGGGTGACTACGTGAATATAAGGGGCGTAGTACTACTGTTGACTCATGGTTGTAGCTAGAGTTGATCGTCGTCGTCCAAATGTCGAAGAAGGAGCAGCCAGGGAAGTGGAAGGAGAATGACTGTGAGGGCAGGAAGAGATGGAATTTGTTCGAGTTCTCTTGCGCCGCCCGCGGTCGAGAGGAGTCAGTGAATGGACGTGACCCTGAGGGTTTAAAGGGCAGGGGCAATATTGGACGGGAGAAGAGTGAGGGAGGAACTCACTCCCCCGGATCAAGCGCTTTCAGAGGGCTGAAACTCCCTCTGGGCCGCATTCCCAACATCCCTGGCCGTGTTGGAAACACGACGCGATCCCATCACCATTTTGCCTTTCCCTTCATCGTTGGCAGTTGGAAGATCTACCGGCTGAGAGTCCGCGCCCACTGTGGTGGTTGAGTAGAACTCTGTCCGTCGTGGCGGCCCGGGCCACGAGGAATCCGAGCCTCTTGGCGGCGGCCCGGGTGCGTGGCCTGAGGTCGATGCACCGTCATCATCATTGTTATGGCCCTGGCCGAGCCTTTTCGGTGACGGTGGGCTCGGCCGATCCTCCGCCTTACTCCAAAAGTCCCAGTCGAAGTCTTTGTCTTTCGAAGGGTTTATCGGCGGCCTTGATTTCGAGTACCGTTGCGGCGCATGCATCCCAAGATGCATCCCCGGCACGGTCATTACATAGTCCGCGCCATACCCTGGTGACGACGGGATATACATCACTGGCCCATCGAGATCGAGGCCTTTAAACGCCAACGGGTCGTTCCACAGCTTGAGCAAATTGCCAAAACAATTCCCCCGGGCCCGCAGACCTTGAATCGACGAAGTCGACGAGCTCGACGGCGAGCAGGACGCTTCCATCAATTGATCCGGATTGGCTGTTGAAGATGCTAGGTTCGGCGCTGGCGGCACATCATTCGTTGACGGGTTGGGCCCCGACGGCGTTGAGCTCGACGACGAATGTGTGCCTGACGACTCAATCGGTTTTCCCGACGTCTTGGAGTACTCCTCCCCCAAATTCCCTAACTCTTCGTCCCACTCAAGGTCCCACCTTTCCCCAACACAGTTGTCAGGTCTTTGGGTATGTGCACCACATCGACGCGTGCTTGACGTTTCTCTTGCACTGATACAGGAGCCGCGAGAGCAAACTCGATGATGGAAAGGATGAGAAGGATTCCAGTGATTATGTCGCGGCGGCGCATTTGTTGGGTGTGTTACGCTTGCCGGCTGACTCGGAGTAGTCAATATGTTCAGTTGTCAAAACGAACAATGTAGTCGCAAAAGTTCAGAGTAAGCGAAAAGTGAGCTTAAAAAAAATGGAGAAGGTAATGAATTGGCGAATTAAAAGTGAAGAGAAAGGTGCACGCACTATCCAGTACCCAGTGAAGTTAAGGTGAGTGAGAACACTGAGAAGCTAGAGATGACATCGGGATTTTATATTCGCATGTAACTTACGAAGGTCATGAACAGAGCACAGGATCAATGTGACAGATCATTTCAGATATTAAAGTATCTCATCTGAGAAACGGAATGCTAGCGAGCAGGTTGAGTACCTGTGTTGATGTCGTCGTTCTGCTTCATCAAGATCATGTGTCAATTTACAATCACAGCCTTGGCGGAAAGACCCGGAGAAGGCTACAAGGCGGTTACCGGTGTTGCCGGACCTGCGCCCGGCCGCGGCTTCATTGACTTCACTGGAAAATTCCAACTCTCAATCTCTCCCAATCATCCGATCTCTCTCGGCCCTTTGGCATTAATTTGGCAACTTGGAGGCGGTCAGCTTGGTAAGGCTCATAATATGCCTCGTTTCTCATTTGGTAACGCTTCACATTTCTTTTTTTGGTTATTTGGGATGGTGGTTTGAAAACATTTTTAATAGACATGGCCGGTACCTAATCACTGCTACTAAGCCCGGTCTTCAGAGCTCGGCTCAGGCTTCTGACATCCTCAGCCGATCCCCGAAGCCTGCAACGCCCTACACCAAGGCTCGACTGTGCTCGGCTCCTATGATAGGGGCCCAGACTTCAGGACTTTGAGGCGAAGTAGTACCTAGGCTGCTTTACTCCGGTTTGACAGTGACGACGGGTGCCGTCACCAGGCCGTCACTGCGCTGTCTAGCATGGCTTAGAACAGATTCTAGTTTCATGATCCCTCATAAGCGTAGTGTCTTATCTCTGCTGGCTAATGCTTCATCCGTGGCTGTCATCTCCCTACCAAAAATTTCCTTCGTTTTGCACTTTCGAGGCGTTTGCCTAGCGACTTGATCGCTATCGGATTTATATCGGCACGGAGACGCATTCTAAAGTGGTGATAGTACACGATCCTGTTTCCCATAATTCATGGGCTTCTCAGTCCACGCTCATACCCGCGCGAGAGAAGCACTGGTTTCTGATTGTACCGTAAGATGTGAAAGCGGGTGTATTTCTGGATCAATTAAGGCATTGTTGGGGTAGTGGTAACCTGGGTCGTTGCCACTGACCGGTGCCAGTTCGACCCGCCCCGGGTTCGATTCCCGGACAATGCAGTCATTTTTTTTTCCCTTTTGTAATCAAGTGTGTTACTGAGGGCCGATGATTGAGGATAAGAAGGTGCAGAGGGACACACTGGAACATATGCTGATCCTCTTGTACCTTGTAGATGTAGATCTACTAGCGGGTGCCCGTGCTGCGCAATTCTTTTAGGTGGTCAGCAGGTCATTTGTGGAATGGTATCAACGCTGCGCCGGTCGTACAGGGAAAGTAGAAAACTGTAAAGAAAAAATTGTTAGTACCTAATAAAGATTGACTACGTGAACCCGGGGCGTGCTGCTGACGCATGGTGGTGGTTAGAGTTGATCATCGTTGTCCAAAGGTTGAAGAAGGAAAGGGAGAAAGGGAATTTCTGCGAGGGCGGGAAGAGATGGGATTTGCTCGAGTTGTCTTGCGCAGCACGTGGTCGAGAGGGAATGGACGTGAGGTTTTGAAAAAATCGAACGCGTGACACTGAAAGCCATCCCAGCCATCGATGGCCGGTAGAGGCAATATTGGACGGCAGAAGAGTACTAGAGAGGGACGAGACAGAAACTCACTCCCCCAGATTATTTAAGCGGCTTTCAGCGGGCTGCAACTCCCTCCGGGCCGCATCCCCAACATCCTCGGCCGTGCCGGAAACATGACGGGATTCCTTCTCTAAGTTCGCTTTGCCTTTCAGTGCATAAACGACAGCTTCAGGATCTACCGGCTGAGAGTCCGCGCTCAACGACTGATGGTCCAATTGAAGTTCAGGATCTGGGCCTGGTTGCGGCCGAGGAACCGTATCGTGCTCGGGCTCTGTCGGCGACTCTGCGCCCGGAGATGGTGAATGTACCACCGACTCGGGGTACGAGTAGAACTCATCAGGTGGAGGCCCGGGTGCGTAGCCTGAGGCCTGGCCGCCGCGCACGTTCGGCCGCGCTGGTCTCGCCGGCACCGTCGAGGACGGTGGTGGATCCTCCGCATTCGTCGAATAGTCCTGTTCGAATTTCGGGTCTGCCGACGGGTTTATCGACGGCCCTTTGTTCGGTTTCGGTTGCAGCGCAGGGGCCTCCGTCACGGGCAATTTACGGTACAAGCTGTACATCATTGGCCCATGTTCATGCATCTGATGGGGCCCACCTTCCGACAACGCGTCCCACAACAGACCAAGACAATCTTTCCCCCAAGAATTCCCCCGGGCCGACAGACCTTGCATCGACGATGTCGACGGCGAGCAGGACGGTTCCATCGACTGATCCGGATTCGATGTTGACGATGCTGGGTACGGTGCTGAGCTCGACGACGAATGTGTGCCGACGAGTCAATCGACTTTCCCGACGTCTTGAAGTACTCTTCCCCCAGCTCCTCTATCTCTTCGCCCCACCGCTTCCCCAACACAGTTGCCAGTTTTTGGGTATGTTCGCCGCATCGACGCTTGCTTGACGTTTCTCTTGTACAAATACAGGAGCCGCGAGAGCGAAGTTGATGATGGAAAGAATGAGAAGGATTCCAGCGACTATGTCGTACCGACGCATTTTTGTTGGGTGTTACGATTTCTGGTTGAGTAGTCAATGTAGATGTTCAGTATGTTCAGTTGTCAAAACGAACAGAGTAGTCGCAAAGTTGAGAATAATCGAAAGTGAGCTGGAAAAAAAATTGGAGAGGGTAATGAATTGGCGAATTAAAAGTGAAGGGAAAGGTACACGCACTATCCAGTACCCAGTGAAGTTGAGGTGAGCGAGAAACTAGAGTTGACATCGAGAGTTGACATGATTTATATTCGCATTCACCAAGGCCATGAACAGAAGGACGGGATCAATGTGTCAGATCATTTCAGATATTAAAATATCTCATCTGAGAAATGAAATGCTAAGCGAGCAGGTTGCCGAGTACCTGTGTTGATGCCGTCGTTCTGTTTCATTATCAAGATATCATGTGTCAACAGAGTAACTTAATCACGTCTGCCCTGGCGGAAAGGCCAGGCTATACGGGCAGTTGGCAGTTGGTGGACTTGAGGCCGGGGCGCAGGCAGTGTTGGTCTCCAGTCTACGATAGAACATTTTTAGATACCATTGTGGCGCAACTGAGTATCGCACCTGTGAGTTCTAGAAGGAGAGATATGATGACTAGAGGGTGTAAGGGAGGAGGTATATGACTGACTGGGAATCGATGCGCACGGCGTCTCGGTGGCTAAGGTAGGCCCTATGTCGTTCGGGTCGTAATCCAACGGGCAGAGGCAATTACAAAGGCGCGGGGGCAAGGCAGACAGAAATAGAAGAAATAAAGGCAACGGCAACTTGATTTAGATTGAATGAGTCCGTCCTCGTGCTCAAATACATGATGAAAAAGATTCAACATGCGCCACGTGACACCAGCGTGACCTGACACGACCGTCACGACGGGAGCGACTGGAGCGACTTATATACTGTAGTCGACTCCGCTTACCTGCTCCTGCCTGGCGTGCTAAGATCTCAGGCTATTGCTATTTCCAACCTTGATCCTCATATTAAAATTTGTCATCCAGCCTCCGTACCTGAGCCACGCAATGCAAATATCGTGATCACCGTCTCGAGTGCCACGAGATGCTGGGTAACACCGTAACACTGGTATAGCTAAACTTGGGCTGCGATGGTGAGTACCAGAGCGGATGTAAAGACCACAATGGAAGGGGGTTCCAACTGAGAATAGACAAAAAAAGGGCGGAGGTGAGGACAACACGGAGAACGGTCACGTCGGGTCGAGCAGCAAAGAGGTACGCGAGCGCACAGAAACAAAAGAAGAAAGAGGGAAACACACTGACATTCGACACGATTCTCTCCTCAACTAGAAGAGCAGCCTTAGATACAAGTGGAGGTCCTACTATACTGAGAGTTAAGGAGGCGGCGAAGGTGTCGGAGATGTGCGGATGCGCGCGTCAACACTGCGCCGGTCGTACAGGAAAAATTGTTGGTGCCTAAGAAAGAGTGACTATGTGAATACAAGTTGCCTACCGTTGGCGCAGGGTTGTAGCGAGTTGATCATCGTCGTCCAAAGGTCGAAAGAGGGGCCAAGAAAGAGGATTAAGAGGGAATGAACGTGAAGCTTTGAAAAGGAGTGAAAAATCGAACGTGTGACACTGAAAGCCATCCTCCCAGCCATCGATGGCCGAAACAAGGTCACGGTAGAGGCAATATTGTACGGCAGAAGAGTGAGGGACGAGAGACAGAAACTCACTCCCCCGGATCAAGCGACCTTTCAGCGGGCTGCAACTCCCTCTGGTCCGCATTCCCAATACCCCTGGTGGTTCCGGAAATATGACGCATTTGCTTCGTTTTGCCTTTCGCTGTATATATGATAGCTCCGAGATCTACCGGCTGTTCGTCCGCGCTCAACGATGGACGGTCCAATCGAAGTTCGGAATCTGGGCTTTGTGCCGGCTCAGGAACCGCCTCGTTCTCGGGGTCTGTCGGCGGCCCGGGGTACGAGTAGGACTCTGTCGTTGGCGGCGTCTTTGGCGGCGTCTTTGGCGGCGTCTTTGGCGATCCGGGGTAGTGGAACTCTGTCGAAGGCGGCCCGGGTCCGTGGCCCGAGGCCTGGCCCCGCTCCAAGTCTGTAGGCGGCACTGGTCTCAACAGAGTCGAGGGCCGTTGTGGCACCTCTGCATTCGTCCAATACTCCCAGTCGAAGTTCGGGTCTGCCGACGACATCGATTGCGGCGCAGGCGCCTCCGTCGTGGGCAATTTACGGTATTGGCCATGCGCTGATGAGCTGGTGTACAGCATTGGTCCGGGCCTAAATCCGGGCCCTTGCAAGGGGTCATCAACCGAGACCATGTCCTCCAACAGACCAACACAAGTCTTCCAAAAAGTATTCCCCCGGGCCGACAGACTTCGCATCGATGTCGACGACGAGCAGGACGGCTCCATCAACTGATCCGGATTCGATGTTGATGATGCTGGGTACGGCGCTGAGCTTGACGACGAATGTGTGTCCGATGAGCCAATCGACTTTCCCGTCTTGAAGTACTCCTCCCCCAGCTCCTCTATCTCTTCACCCCACCGCTTCTCCAACACAGTTGTCAAGTCTTTGGGTGTGTTTGCCACATCGACGAGTGCTTGGCGTTTCTCTTGCATCAATACAGGAGCCGCGAGAGCGAAGTCGATGGCGGAAATTATGAGAAGGATTACAGTGACTAGGTGGTACCGGCACATTTTTGTTGGATGTGTTACGCCGATTAGGCGATATTGCTGGTTGAGTAGTCAAAGTAGGTGTACAGTATGTTCAGTTGTCAAAACGAACAGCCTGAGGTTAGTCGCAAATTCCAGAATAAAAGAAAGTGAGCTAAAAAAAAAATCGGAGAAGGTAATGAGTCGGAATTGGCGAACTAAAAGTGAAGGGAAAGGTATACGCACTATCCAGTACCCAGGGGGTTAAGGTGAACAAGAAGCTAGAGATGTCGTCGAGAGTTGATATGACTTTATATGCAGGCAGTGCCATGCACAAAAAACGGCAAGGCCACGAACAGAAGCACAGGATCAATCATGTCAAGAGCCTGAGTATCTCCGTTGACTCGGATGCTATTAATATTGTCACTGTCAACCAAAAAAAATGTTGTAGAAATCTTATTAATAAATAATAATGTTTTTAAAAAATGGACATGCTTTTTTTCGCAAAAAAAAATTCTGAAAGAAGATGGTTGTAAAGGCACCTCATAGATGCTCACACTGCTGGCAAACTTGAACACGTTAACAGTTTCCTGGGCATGGTTTGAGTCGTTTGATAATTCCTACCGGCAAGATATTTTTCTAAGTTTTCTGAATTATTTATTTACTTTCGACTATAACACTTAATTAAAGTTTTTTAGGTTTAAACCCCTGATTTGCATGCATGGCATGTTCTGCTTCATCATGGAGATCATGCATCATGCGTCGCCGAACCCCCCAGCCAAAGCAAAGCACCAGAGGGCGCACGGCACAAGCGCCACAGACAGTGCACCTCCGTACTACACCCCCTACCCCCTCCCAGACGGGCGCTGTAGATAAGATGGGTGCAG